AAGTGCAACAGCATAACGTAGATTTTATGCCAATTTCTGGTCTTAAATTGGCCATAGCATAAGTTTTAAACATCTTAACACCAAATCTCTTCCTGATTGTCTGGAAAATAACTGTACTAGTATAACAAGTTTGATAAATGTCAACAGAATGCGATAAATACAGAGTAAGATTGACATAACGATGTACGATGCCATTGGCGCACCCTGATCTCGGAATAGCCGAATGCAAAAACAAAGTAATGAGTTGTTATGGTTTGTAGATGACAGTGACAAGGGTAGACGTCGCAGAAGGAGGAACCACAGTGCTCGATGTAGCTCAGCAACCAGTTCCATTGTCCTTAAACGGAAAACAGGTAGGATAGAGTGCTAGTACTTATCTTTTTTTTTTAAATGAACATTTTTGATGTGGCATTGACCTGTAGTAGTAGTAGTAGTAGTAGTAGTAGTAGCATCCACTATTTGATTATACAGCTGTGGGGCCCATCTAAGATAGGGGTGGGCAGCACTCAGCTAGTCTTCACACTTGTTTAGTGACATCAAAGGGTTAGAAAATCTAATTGTAGAGTTCATCAAAAATGGAAGAACTTCTTCATGTTTGAAATCTATTTTCCCCCCATATCTTTGTGAACAACAATACATTGTAACACTTTGATTGCAATCACTACATCAAATTTATTCAATTTTGTTGTTTTGCCTTTAGGCATCATTCCAAGGATGCTGGCTACCAAGGACACCCTTCTGAACATGTGCTTACAGAGAGGGAATTACACACAGGCTCATCAGGTAAGAGCTTGAATAATGTTAAGTATGAATACTATATAAGGCCTCTAACTGTTTGTTGTTGATTGTATTGGAGTTAGGTAGAGCTAAGGTTTAGATAAGTATAATTTCAATCAGTAAAGCTCACTGCCAAAGTCACCATTATATCACCCAACACACTCTTCATATCCTTCCTATTTATATAGGTTATCAAGATGTTCCAGTTCAAAAATGAAGCCAATGTTGCAGAGGTCAAGTTCTCAGAGAACTATGAATCAGCTATCAAACAGCTTCAGTCAGTGGAGATGAAGTCCAAAGGAGGCAACACAAGTGGGAAACCAGAGAAGCCTGCTGTGAGTAAGTCACCGCTGGGTGCCATCGCCAGTGCTGCTGCAGCAGGGATGGCTTCTATGTCTCTCAACAACATCGTAGACCAGCTGTTGAAGACAGAGAAACTCCCTACTGTTGTGTGGGCTGATGAGGAAGAGATGGCTACAAAGCCCCACATCTGCTCCCTGATCAGGAATGAAAATGTTCCAGCCATGATCATCTTTGACTTAGCCTGCACTGCCACCAACTCCTGGGAGGTGTCCAGGTCTCTGCTGGAGATGGCAGACAAGAAAGTCATGCCTGCAGTCAAGACCCAGGAACTGCAGACGTACAAACTTGGGAAGGAAGATCAGCACAGGATCTCCAAGGCTGAGGAGAGTATCGCTGGCTTTGAGTCTGTCTTCAGACAAATTGTCGGGATAGTAGGAAAGGACTCAGGGGAGAGCTCTTCTCTCGTAAGGCCAGAGGTGAGAATTTGGAAACAAGACATACATTTGTAGTGCGCTTTACTTCTATTATGTATCTGTATGTGGTTTTGTTGCTTTTAATTCTTTCCCATGTAGAAGACATTTAGTTTATGTCAGGCTTGGTTGAATTTTAAACTATGTACAATTTCTTTCCTCAGGTCAAAGCAAAGTTCTTCCAACACAGTGCAAGGGACATTTTAGGCAGAGGCTCCCAGTCCCTGGATGGGGAGGAAGTTAGAAACCAGGTCAGCAGTCTGCTGGAGAAGGAGAAAGCTGTGGAGAGACTGGTCAAGGCTCTGTCTGAGGATGGAGATATCCAGACAGGCGAGGGCAAGACTGGCAAGACCAAACGCAGCGCAGTTCAACAGGTATGGCTGTTCATTGGCTGGCAAGACTTCAAAATTGCTTTTCTTTTAATTCTTTGATCATGCTGCTTAAAGTAGACAGCGGTTAGTGTTAGGTTCAATTAATTATCATTTGCCCAGTTTCACCTACCTTTAACTATATAACAATGATTAAAAATGGTAACAATATTGTGAGAGTTCTCAAGATTTGCCATAATTGTTGTGCAGTAAGTTTAAAAACTGTTTTTAATTGCACACTTCAAACAAGAGTATCCATTAATATTAGGATAAACCTGCAGAAGTAGGTCAATCTATCTATTTTAAGTATGTTAATGTTGTCCACATTCTACCTAGGCTATACAACACCTGATCAAAGTGTTTGATGGCTACCCTGTGCTGTGCAGCAGCTTGTGGCACCTGGAGCACCTGGAGGGTCGTGGGGATGAGGATGTGCAATGGGCAGACTTTCTCAGGAGTCTGTACACCCATGTCAGCACCATGACTGCCCTGCTCAATGAACATCAGGGTAAACTCTTACCTAAAACAGAGTAGGCTTGGTTTTGAGCTGGATGTAATGTACCTGTGCCATTTGTTGACAAATGAGAGTTGCTTGGTTTTCGTCTATTGAAACCCATGTTGTAATAAAAAATTCTCTTCTTCATATTGTTTGCTCTAGATTTGGCCAAGCAGGGAGGGGTCTCCCAGATTAGGCCTGCCAACCCTTTCCTGGTGCTGTCTGAAGGACCCACCTTCACTCTGGGCAAACTGATGTTTGACAAGGGAGTGCCACCTGACCAGTGAGTAGGATGCAGTCCTTAAGGAAATATTTTACACATAGCCTCTGACTAAACTAGCATTTTTACATGAATATACTGTGCATATGATGAATGGATATCTTGACTGCTGACCATCTACAGGTTACAGACAGTAGCTGAGCAGTTGCGGATGGACCTGGTGCATGTGATTGTGCAGAGTTGCTGTCCCAGGGTGCCACTCACCACACAGCAGCCGCAAACTTCTGGTGAAGAACTACACCAACTCTATCAAACAATTGAGTAATTCAACATTGAACCAAATTCTAACAACCAAGCATAAGCAGACACATAAGAATACATGTACTTGTGTTTTGGTAATGGTGTTAAATGTTTGGCATTTCTGAATACACTACCTGTTTTGTGGAAGGTATCATCATGTTTCTCTCCCTCCCAGGGGACATGTGGGTTCTGAATGCAGCAGACCTGACTGAGGTAGATGAAATGGATCAGAGCAGCACCTCTCCACTACTGTTGGCTGAAGATTTGCTCATCCAGATGGTCAACCTGCTAAAGGGTACGTTTGATAAAGTTCTGTACACAAACAAACAAATTTGCAATCAATTAGAGTTATGATTTATATTGTATTGCCTATAAATGACAGTATCATCAGTATTCATATGGACCCTGTGGTAAGTCAGAAACTAAGGATAGATTCCTTCTATTTTGTCCAGCTCATGCCCAGGATGGAGTGTTTGACCAGAGGGGAGGCACACAAGTCTGTCAGTCCTCAGACTACCAGGACTTGGCAGCAGCAACTCAACAGTTAGAGGCAGTGGATCTCACTCTCCTCAGTACTGATGCAGAGAAACTCTGCTTTTTCACAAACATCTTCAACCTGATGTTGGCCCATGCTGCCCTGGCACAACTTACTGCCAGGCTGAGGAGTGGGAGTAAAGATGCCTCCTTCAGTTTGTTCTATTGTAGCAATCCCCTTGACAGTGTGATCTGGCTCAGCAGCATTGCCTATAACATTGGCCAGATGGGAACCGTAAGGTAAGTATGCAATAATGCATACTCTGTGTTCCCAGTTGGATATAGGATTTTGTACTTTGAAGAAAAACTTCCCATACTAATAAGTTCACCAGTGATGGTCATCAGCTATATTCTTAACATTATTTCTGGGTTAACAGAAACATGCTATTTAAACCAAACTTCTATTGGAGAGTCATACATGTTTAACATGTTAGTTAAAATGGTAACCAGAATCTGCCAAATCCTATAAGTTATCTTCATGTCATCAGGGCATGTTGTGGCCTGCTCTGTCATGATTATTTACCGGTAGTACTGTGATTGAAGGATCAGGAAGTCATAGATCTTACCAGAGCCTACTGTCACCTGTTCCTTTCCAGTGCACTTGACTTAAGATTCCTGGTGTTGCATCATGGGTTGCCCCTACCATCTCACTACTCCCTACTGAAGGACAGGCTCCATGGTAAGCCTGACACTATTATTGTTTTCTTTGCAAATCAAAAGGTTTTTACATAAAACTGTCAACATACAGATTACGATACCTATAATGTCTATTGCACCACTTCTGCTCACATAAACTCTATGGTTCGTCCATAGGACTGTCTCCAAACGACCCCTGGCATGAGTTCCTGCCCCCTGCAGACCCCAGGGTCTTGTTTGTGCTGACAGAAGGGGCAGCATCTTCTCCACCTCTTCAGGTAACACTAGATAAACATGTATTACATATCTGATATGTCATAGATTCATATATTATCTTTTGAGTAGATTCCAACTGCCATAGGGGCTGGGCATTGGATATCAACATGTCACACAAGTACAGGTAATTTTCAACCGCACCAGGAAGGATGTCCTACATGCACGAGTAACACTGGTCATTTTTAGAGCTGCATGCATGGTACTGGGCTACAAGACGTTAATTGTCCTCCTTTACCAAAGCACAGGATGTCATTTGAGAAAATGTGATGCATTATTAAAAAAAATACTAAAGGTCACTTATTTTGCACAATCACCAGTTTCAGCTGGTAAGCATGTTGTTACATCCCACTGCAGGTGTTAAAGCCAGATGATGTGGAGCTGCAGCTGGAGACAGCTGTAAGGCTGTACCTGGAGACACAGCTGGTGGTGGATGAAGCCATCTTACATGTAAGTCAATAAGTTTGAAGAAGTTATGTAGAAAAGTGTATCAGCAAGTGTATTTTCTATTTTGTATTCATTGTTGTCCATTATTCCTGTCTACCTTTAGGTCAAGATACCAGAGTTGCTAAACTGGTACAAAGGAGACTTCCTTGGTGTGGACCCTACACCTGATGACCCTCTCCTGGCCCTGATGTCAGTACTGGCTGACCACTGTCCTCCCCACCTGGCAGATGTACTGTGGAAACTGGAGGCCCAGCAGGAACAGTCAGGTCAGGAATATTCACTGGGAGTTCTGTACATGACATCAACCCCTAACCATCTTCTTCTGAACCAGTCATCATTTTTCCTGTCAAGCTCTGGTACCAATAAATTCAGCTGATGAATGTATTCTACCAGTTAGTAAATTGGTGAATTTGTGAATACTTTTCTAAAATTACCACTTGCCACTCTTTCAATATATTGTACATTTGAACTTTAGGACAATCCCAGCCAAGGACCACTTATTCTCTGGTTCCGTTTGAGGCAACATTCCAGTATGTCTTCATGTTTGAACGGTCCACTGGTTCAAGGCAGGCCAAGGTGGAAGACTCCCAACTTCTGTCAGCACAGGACTCTGTTTCAAGAACAGATGAACAGTCCTCCATGTTTAGAATATCCAGCACAACTCAGCAATACTTGAGGAATAAGTCTCACTTGGTGGCTACTTTAGCTCAGCTTATCTGTAGACAAAGTGAGGCATCCTCCCAAGGGGAAAACACAGAACAGCCTGAGGAGCATCAGGCAGAGGCTGAGGATCACGAGGAGAGTGCCAATGACATCAACCAGACAGTACAGTCCACCACGTTACACATAGAAGACGAGTTTCCTGTGTTGAACAACTTCATCCATGCAATGGTGCTTCCTCTGTCCAACCAGCTTACAGACATCTTTGAAGAAAGGACACCAGGTTCTGCTGCCATCATTCCCAGTCTTCTTTCTAGTCACACAGATAAGAAATTAGCTGGCAATGTAAAAACACTCCTGCTGCAGCTGTTACAACAGGGAAGGATGCAGGAGGCAGTAGACATTGTAGAGAACCAAAGCTCTGTCCTTGATGTGGAAAAGACAGCCCTGCTGTGTGACTTTGTGCTGTGCTGTGCTGGTACACAGGCAGATATGGAGCAATCTGAAAGCTGGAGATATCTCCTCAGAGTAAAGGATCCAGATGTATCTGCTCATGTGGTTCTGGCCTGTTTGGGTCAGTGGCCTGTGGATGTCTGTGTGGAACTACTGGAGATGTGTGCAGGCAGCAGTCCGAGGTCTCCTGCACTGGAGAAGGCAGTGGAGAAGGCACTGCAGGAGATGAGAGTTTACCAGAGGGTAAGATTCATTCATCATCCCTTCTGATGGATTTGCCTTGAAATATTTTTAATGTGGTGACATACATGTATGTTCTAATCTTTCTAATCTTTATGGTGCTTAAAAACTTGATTAACACTGCAACATTTGTAAAGAGGCATTTTGATTTACAGATAGTGAACTGTGCCCTGGAAGCTGCCCCGGCTGTGTACCTGGAGGAAGAGACAGGATCCAGCAGTCTGGATGCAGATGTCAGCGCATTCACCAGGTGGCAGGCTGTAGCAGAGGAGTCTGTGGCAAGCCCTAACAAGATCCTGGGGATACTGCTGAGGGCAAAGGACTTCACAACAACCAGGGAGTGGGCAGAACTGCATAATGTCCCACAGAGATTGAAGCAGGTTAACATCCAATTCTGTATGAACCGTATGATTTTGCTGTTAAGGAATTTGACTTCTGGATTCTTGCTGAATTCTTATTTGCAGCTATGACATGATTGTGTAAATGTTTTTTTATTTAGATGGTAGAGGAGCAGTATGTCATCTCTCTTCTTGAATATGGCAAACACAAGGCAGATACTACCAAAGCGTACCAGGTACTGTATTTTTAAAGACAGCACTACAGCTCTGTCATAATGATGTCAGTTACATAGCTTTCCAATTGCATCTCATGTACTTACAAGCCATGATGTCCTTACAAGTAACTCATGTTTGTCTTCAGGCTGTAATTGTCATTTGGTTGTAATTTAATGAACACAGTATTGCCAAAAATAAATCATTAGCCTGTACATTGTGTAACTTTCTTGAACTGTATATCCTGTTTGTTTTTTCTCTAATAATAAGCCATTTGGTCATTAACATTCAGGTCCTGCAGAACATAGGATCTGAGTCGACCTGCCTCTCGGTGTGTGAGAATATCCTCCCAAAGCTGCAGCTGGTTGAGAGTCAGCTGTTCCTGCTGCAGTACCTGCTGGACCACCTGCAGAATGAGCTGCAGCTGGACAAACTGCAGCAGTTCTGTCTCAGGAAAATGGGTGCAAAGGTACAGTAGCTTCCTATCTGAAAGAGTACTTTATAATTCATGCTGCCAGACCCTGTAGCTAGAAATAACTGTGTCGATATCTCACTTACCTCTGCTAGGGATTCAAAGTCATCTTTCTGAACTATAAAAAAAAATTGTGATATCATTCTCACAGCATTATTGACATGCCGGTAATGACTTTGATCTTCCTCTCCGCAGGCCCTCCTGTGCCTCCCATCAGGAGCCCGCGGGGAGTATGACCACCTTGTGACCCAACCTGACCTCATTCTGGAGCAGCTGCTCATGAACATGAGGGTAAGACACAACTTTCCTCCCTATTGAAGAAACTATCTCTTTGATTACTGTAAGACATTTTGCAGCACTTTGTTTTAAAGTATGTTATTCTGTACAGCATTGTCAGTGGGATTTATAGGTACAAAAGATTCACCTGGATTTGTAACCTGCAGGTTGCCTGGGCGTCCCAGGTAGTACAGGTGCTCCATGAGGAGTTGAGGAGGAGTAAAGACATCGCAGACCTGCGCTGTGACCAGCTGGATGTCATACTAGCCAAGTATGCAGCCAAGGCACTGGACTTCCCTGTGGTACAGTACAGAAACTCATCAGGTACTAGTCTCTTGATGTCGTTAATGATCTGGACATATGGTCTTTGCCAGAAGAGCTGATTTTGTCTATCTGTGTGTGTGTGTGTGTGTGTGTGTGTGTGTGTGTGTGTGTGTTACCTTTCTTTTCATACCATTTTGACTACAGTACTTCTCACTGTCCTCATTTGTACAGACTCAAGAAGCGAAACACCTGCCACCCTGTCACCCACCCCCACCCCCATGGAGAAGACAGTCACCCCCTCTGTCACACCTTCAGCTTCCCCCTCTCTCGTCAGAAAACATGCAGGGTCTCCAGGGAAAGGTATTCTCTCACATTTTTGCATGAAATTTGAGTAAGGCTACTTTGTAACATTGTATTCTGGTTTTCTAAAATTTTGCTTGCAACATTTTCAAATCTGTATGTCTATGGTGAAGGTTATGCTTGCCATATTCGAACATTCTGTGGGCTTGTCTTCAGTTACTGAGTTATAGTTGCATGTTTGAAATTTCATCATCATTGTGTTGTAATTCTGGTACATGTATTTACTGAATGCTCTTTGGATTGCAGTAGATATACAGTTAAGTCCTATGTTTAATATAATGTACTATAATCACAGATATTCTATAAACCACAAGAGAACTGGATAGTCCTTATCAGATTTGAAGTCCATGATGGTTTTCTGAGTTTGTTTCTGTTGGTGTAGGTGACAGCAGCAGCCTGTACAGCACCAGTGCCAGCGGCAGGAGCTCGGCCAGCCTCCTCAGCAGCAGTGTTGGACAGAGGAGTCCTGTTCCCAGCAGGAAGGTGAAATCCAATGTGGGAGTCATGGCAGCATCAGGCTACATCCTGCCTGAGGTGCCTCCCAGCAGGGCTCAGTGGGTACCTGATGAGGACGTCACACACTGCATGGTCTGCAAGTTTGAGCAGTTTGGGATGGTAGGTGGAGACACTTTCAATATCAGAAATGTTAATGACAATCAATACTTTGACTGTTGATATGCACGCTCCTTTTAGATTTGAAGTGATCTACGTTCCTTGTTATGTTGCCCTTTTCCAGTTCAACCGTCGGCACCACTGCCGGAGATGTGGCAGGGTGGTGTGTTACAGTTGCTCCAGTCACAAGGTGCTGGTGGCTGGGTATGGAGACATTCCTGTCAGGATCTGTGCTGAATGCCATGAGCAGTTCTACAGGGGAAGGTGGGCTAAGCAAAAATGCTCTGTTCACTGATTGTTGTTCATTATCAACAGATATATCCACTTGAATGCATTTCAGCACCATGGAGAGGTATGGACATATGCAGGCAAGAAATCAGTAACAACGGTTCAAATTAAGCACATTTTAAATGAAATTCAGCCCTTGTAGATGAATGATTTGTAATATTATCAGTAGTGTTTTGAAAAGCACACTCATAACCAGTTAACCTACTCCTGTTAATCTACACCTGTACAGATCCCGGCCCTCTAGTCCACAGCTGGAGGACAGACTGAAGGCCAGGCTGGCAGGTAACAGAAAACCTTCACTGTCTCATTGACAGACCATACTAATGTGTGGTCCAGGTATTTTGTCTAGTGTATAGAGTACAACCAACAACAATAAAGTTGATAACTTGATATGGGAAGATTGTTCAGGACAACAGCAATGATGATGGATTTTTGCATAAGAAGGGTATGTATCAAGTCAGTGTCACAGCAACACTCGGTTGGGTTAAGGCGGCCTAGGCTGATATTCATGTTCGAGTTCGGACGTGTGTCTGCACGATTGCCACATACATGTTTCGAACCCGAATCATGTTCCACCATGTTCGATATGACGTCATTCGAATAGAACGCGTGTTCGAATTCGGGGTTACCGGCGGTCATTTGTATGTTTCCCCTGTAAACCCGCGTTGTTACGCATTTTATTCACGGAGTATGACTTAAACGGCTTTACGCGCAGCTGAAAACAACATAATTCATCTTTAGAGTAATCCATGTTTACGTATTATCACTTTTTTATCAAAATTGTCCGAGGCTATTTTGTATATAAGTCGAAATTTTTTAACTGTGGCGATTTTTTAACGAAAAATGACAGAAAAATAGCTGTTTCTGTCGTTTTTGGCCCAAAAAAACAATGTAACTGTCATTTAAAACAAAATAGCCTCGGACCAAAAAAAATAGGGGCTTGGCTTTCTACTTGTAAAATATCATGATGAAAGGTGTTGTTACCGCTTGCGCGTAAAGCCATGAAGTAAACAGCTTTTTTTTAACCAAAATGTTGATTTTTAACCCCAAAATTCAGAAGTAGTAAAAACAAAATAACCTTTATTCAATATGTTTCGAGTACTACTAGAACTGTGTGAAGTTAAGTTGTGGTGCGACCAAGCTATCAAAAGTTACAGCCATATGTATGAAATACTAATCATAGTTGGCCATAGGCTGCCTTAACCCAACCGAGCAATGGAACAGCTTCTGCCACATGTACATGTACATAATGAAGGTGTATTTAACAGGTAAGGATTATTCTGTATCTTAAAATGGACATTTCAGTGACTGTTCAAAACAGAAACATTTCAGCCTGTTAAGTACAACACTACCTGTAACTGCACCCAAGGTATCAGCACCAGTCCTGTGGCAAGTGGTGCAAGCAGTGCCACCAGCGAGGCCCTGGAGCCAGACTTCCACCAGGAACAGCTAGAGCAGCAGTGGAGCTGGAGGCTGGAGTTAGAGGAGGACAGGAACACTGCTGTCAGGGAGGAGTTCTACTATGAACAGGTACAGCTGAAAACAAGGCACTGGTCTAGTTGTACATTCATGTTAGGAAAATGATCTTGGTGATATTTTCAGGACATCTTTATTTTGATGGCGTTGAAGAAGAGTTGCTGTTACAGTTCTACTCGGTAACCCAGGTTAACCAACCTTGAAGTGGCCTAATGGCCGTGTTACGTGGCGACCAACTAAGTAAAAAAAAAAACTTAGAGTTTGCTTTCCAAGCAAGCCACCATCATTGCACTTCACTTTTGACATTCTTAAAAGTCAAAACCAAAAGGATACTGCTATTGATATGTCTTTTATGTCTTTACATTTTAGTCCTACATACATCTGTTTAGCACATTTAAAAGATCCTTGTATGTGCCTTTGTGTGTCCCCTGCAGGCACCCAACACATCCCTGTGTGTGTCCCTGCTGAACCTCCACAGTGATGACCAGGCTGCAGGCCAGCACATGGTGCAGCTCAGCCACTCCCTGTCTCTCAACCTCAACTACCCAGATGTGGACTCCAGTCTCATTATTAGGTTGGAACTTGAGTCTTTACTACCAATGTTATACTGGTAACACTTAGATGTTATATTTTCTGTAAGCATGTTACATAGCACTTTCTTCTTCAAAGGTAAAAATTTGCACCAGACACTAATTTGTTGGTGTGAGAGGGGATAAGAATGTGTGTTATCATTATTCCAGCATGCTGCGCTACCTACTGTTCAATGCCAAGATGAAGTTTATGAAGGCAGGTGAGAGTTCTGGGATTGAGATGTGTGACACATACCTGAGCCATGTGGATGTTCTGAAGATGCTGGCCCAGGCCCACTTCCAAGGCCTGCCCTCCATACAGGAGCTACAGTCAAAGGACAAGGCCAGGTAAGGACCAGTAACAACACTTGTTACTTTTAAGGCCTCTAAAGTAAAGATGACTCTTTCTAAATATAACATCTGTGTCCATTAAATCACCAGGGTCCATAATATCACCACCTTGAGAAACAGTGTGCTTAAAGATATTTTTACTGCAACATACTTTTGGTATGCACTCCTTCACACATCAAATGTACATACATTTGCAAAAGAGACTGTAAGTTCTACATTGTACTGTACATTCACATTCATATCCCAGAGATGCAAAAATGGTCTCTTGAGACCAAAAAAAGAAGAGGAATATTGCTTCTAATTCATAGTTCTGTTGAGTACAGAATTTCATTTAAACCTTTGGAAAGGTTGGATTAAGTAAACACCACTTTATATACAACTCTATCTTGATATTCTCTGACCATCCAGACGGCTAAGGGACAGGCTGATAGAGGATGAGCGGCTGGACCTAGCCATGGACTTCTCCACTAAATGTGGGCTGGACTCTGCTGGTGTGTGGGCAGCCTGGGGCATGGCCTACCTCAGAACAGGGAACTTCCAAGCTGCCAGGGAGAAATTCAGCAGATGTTTGAAGGTAAGCATGAAGAGTGGCTGTCTAGAACATTTCATGCTTTTTATGTTATGTTCACAGTGCAGTAGCTGATGAATAACTTGTTTGTCTGTTTGCTTCAATCATTGTTTCTGCAGCCCCCCTCAGATGTGAACATGATTAGCTATAGCTCCAAAATGCTGACAGGGATCCTTCAGTGCCTTGAGTCTACCTCCACTGCCACGCTCGCTCCAGGCAGGGACCTGGTCAAGAACCCCTACCTGGTCAGTAACTCTTCAAGTGACAATAGATCCTAATATTATTTCTCTTCAGAAAGAGTGTGATTTCTATCTGCGGACATATTACAGATATAATGGACTCTAGCAAGTTGCATTCATTCTTGTGATTTGTGGATAGGTGTATGTTTAGAATTGTTGCAAAGTTATGAGAAGTTCCTGTTGACCCCTGCAGGGTCTGTCTGGCAGCAACCGGGCATCCCAGCTGTCTGACCAGGTGTTCCAGGAATGTCTGTACTACCTGCAGATGTACGGGACCCACCTGGATCTCATCAACTTCTACTACAGCCACAACAAACTGCCCAAGGCTGTCAAATACACTCTAGATAAGGTTGACTGTGGAACTTGTCTACAAAATGTGTATGCTCTAGCAGTTTGAAAACATGATACTGAGATTTGGTACCTAAGTATAGATTGATAAAGTCTGTTCTCATTGTACTACTTCAAGTTCATTCTGGGAAACTTGATAATGTAATACTTGTAGCAATGGCCCTACTTTTTGTTCAACAGCACTGCTCCCCAGAAGTGTTCATCGAAGGTTTGCTGGTTCCCTGCCTGGGTCGAGCTCAGCTGCCCAAGCTACAGGACCAGATGGTCATGTTTGATCCCACCCTGGTGAGGTGGGCCACCTACCTGACTGCTGCCTGCCGTTATCTCAACAAGAACAACCGCAACTACAGCTTATACCAGTTCCAGATCTTTATGAAGGTGGGTTTTACATTTACATGTATATCTGGTGCATCTGGTTAACCCAAAAAAGCTGTGGCATGGTACATTGAAAAGTGCAGGTTGCTGAAGTGTTTCCAAACCTTATCAATATTGCTCCACAGGACTATGTACGAGCTGCCATGACCTGCATCAGGTTCTTCTCAGCCAGAGCCAGTACCTACACTGAGCTCTTTGATAGGCTGCATCATTTAGCTAGTGCCAAGCAGCACCTCACCACTGTCCTTGAGGAACAGCACAGTGATAGCATGGGCAGCAAGACAGCTGGTGGCCATAGCCCAGTACTGACAGGACGGTCAGCTGGCTGGGGAGAGGATACCGGTAGTAAGGAACCAAGTATCAAAATGACCATGAGCAGACCAGAACTGAACAGGTTAGAAAGTTCACCTAGAGTAGAGTGTAGTCATAATGTGTGTCCTGTTATAGGCATCACTATCAATTATATCAAATCAGACTTTTCACTTCATCTGTTGTGATTGCACTGAAATCGTTACAAATTGACGGAAATATAGACTAGATTGATTGCTATTAGCAGTCTTAGATTTGTAGCTAAGAACTCAGTCTCTGTAAAGCCCCGTGCCATGTTTCACAGTTTGTTGTGTCCAAAACCATTTTGTTAGACACATCAACACCATCACCCTTCAGACGGATGTGACCAAGTTCCTGCACCGCTGCATGACCCTGGCACAGAAGGGAGCGTCCAGTGTGGGAGGGGAGACGGCCAGTCCTGGGAACCTACCCTCTCTCTTTGGTAACAACAAGGTCAAGTCTGAGGTGGCATGTATGGTGAGTCAGCTGTGTTCTGTGGTTAAAGTGGTGTTTTAGCTTTTGTTGATAAGTCAGAATTTATACTGGGAAACAAAGAGTAAGAATTATAGATACTTGTGTGCAAAAAGTGTTGTGTGCAAAAAAAATTCTTTCTTGTAAATTTTCCAGGTCCTGCTTGCTGGAACACACATCCAGGATGGGTTTGGGCTTGCTTTCAGGATCATCCAGGTATTTTTCGATTCCATGATTTTCGATCTTCTTGATGACACAAACCCTGATCCCATTTGAGTAGTATTTCACTGTATATTCAGGCTGGTAAGACTCTGATAAGACAGTTGCATTTGTCAGCATTGAAACTTGTTATTGAGCTAGAAAATTGTTATTTTTCTGCAGGACTTTCACCTGAATGCCACCCTAGTGTATATCCAGGCCGGCAGGACCCTGGCCAAACAGAAGCAGTATAAGGAGATCAGCCAGCTGCTGCAGTGTGTGGAGGAGTCAGGCCTGTCTGATGAACAGAGCTGGGATGAGATCATCGGAGCTTGTCTCCTGGTGGTGGCTGATGACCCAGGACAGGTAATTGTGGGGAAAATATTTGCTAGGAATGATGTGCCATCTATTGTATGCACATCAAACTATGATCCTCATTATCGGAAACATTGTCATTCTTATCAACCATTATTGTATCTGGAAAATAAAGTTTACATGCTATTTAGGGAGAATACATGGTCACCAGTTCTCTTTCATGAAGCAAACCTGTGTTTATTTGTAGTAAGGTGTTGTGATATTGATGTTGTATACATTTATTTGTATTTATTTTGTGTCACAGTCAAAAGAAGCTGAAAGCTTGATCAAGAGAATCAGAAGTGATGCCAACAAGGTAACCTCCATACCACTTGGAATCTTACTACCTATAACATTTCTATTTGCCATATTTATTACTTCAAAAGTCTGAAATGTGTAAAACACAGATCTCATGAGCCTGACTGAAATCTCGTCTTCCTTCCCAGATCAATGCTTATATCCTGTGTGGAAAGCTGAAGTCTGCATACCTGATCGCAGTGCGTGGAGAGCGTGTAGATGACATCCGGCGGATTGCTGGTACCGCGGAGCGCCATGGCCAGTCTGCGGTGAAGAGTATTTGTGACAAGTGGCTGCTGGGATGGGAGGAGAAGAGGCAGAAGGAACGTCAGCAGCAGGAGCTGCTCAGGAACGTCAGGAGAAAATGACAGAAACAAGACTTCCCATATTTCTCCAGCTCTTAGCATACATGAACACGGAAATCATTTTGATAGATATACTAATAGTGCTTTTTCCTTTCTTCTCCACTCTTTGATTTGAAGATATACAATGAATTATATATGAATTATAAAATATTTAATTGCCTCAGGTAGGCCAGAAAGTGTCGGGAAAATATCAATTTCAGATGTACACATATGGAGGTAATCTAAGTGTTTTTCCTTTCATACTATGAATGATATGGAACTGAAGATTTAACAATGAAGATTTAACAATCATAAAACATCAGTTACTCTTCGAAGGTAGCATCATTCATTGTTAACATGCTAGTACATCATGCAGTAGCAATTACACTGCCAGAAAGTTAGGTACGGGCAGTTCTATTGGCTACCGTCCTGCAAGTTTGTTGCAAATTAAAACCTTTACAATATACTAGTACATGTATGTCTATTTGCTGTAAATTAAGGCAAAGCCATGAATGTACATGATGATTATGATGCAAATAAGTGTCCATCACATAACCTCAGCATCTAGTGCAAGCACAGCTGACCCTTGTAAGATTGGGAACAAAAGATGATAAACCAGATAATGAGAGAGTGAGTTAAATCCGTGACATGCTACTCAATGGTCTTTTCAATACAAAAACCTCCCAAAATGGTAATAAAGAAGAATAATGCAAAGTATGTCAATTGTACATGTTTCAATTTTTTTAAATTAAAATATAAAATGTCAAGAGCAATTTCAGGAAAAATTTAGTAACTATACAGAGTGGTCAGATTAATATATTGGTAAGATTTAACAAGCATATACATCAATATATGAATATGATTTACAAATAGTGATTGTCTCCTCACTTAAGTAAACTGATCTGGATCTTCTCCTCAGACAGTTGGTTCCTCCAACCATACTGTGCATACCATGAAGGATATGTTCTTCACCTATATACAACATATAGATTTCATACCAAGCTATACTCCTACACTATGTTACTATTTATGCACTATAACCTAACCGCAGAAAATATAGTTACATATAACTATAGGTTAAGTTGAAATTCAAAAATAAAAAAGTAACAGGTGACAATGACAAATCATTGGAATTTGCTGTTTACATAAAAGAAATTGTATCATGGGGGCTGTACAGTCCATGATGACACAAGTAGTTTATGGAAAACTAGGTATCAAAAGGACAGGCAGTACAGCAAAGCCACTAACTTGTCATAAACGAAAGATAATCTACAGTAATTTGTGGCCTGTTTTAGGCTTGCTGCTTGAAATCAAGAAAATGCCACTGATCTATAGTGAACTCAACTACAATGTACTATAATTATAGCTAGGAACTGTTAAATTGATGTCAGTTTCAAGAGCTTTCAACCAATTCAGAATTGAATTACAGTAGATATATTTTTGACATCATCCCCAGACTTAGATGACCCTGCTAGCACTGGGGTCATATTCAGGATGGTCTGTGATGGGGGCTTTGTCTGACACTGTGGCAGGCATCTGGGTTTGAGACCGTGCTCTTCTGTTTAACCTCCATCTCCAGAGAGACATCCCCAGATTCACACCCCACATCAGGAAAGTCACCCAGAAGGCACCCTGCAATCAAGCAACACATTACTTCTCACCCTTCACCTATTATCTGGTCTAATGCTGCCAGTTGCTGTACCAGTAACACAATTAAGTTTTTCTGTAACAGCAATATTTGGAAAAGACTTGTATTTAATTGTGGTATATTCAAAAACTGGATTGTGTCATCCTAAAATAATTAATTCTTGTACAAGTATTGTAATGAAGGCCCCGTGAGTGCCAAATATAACGAGCAACTTTGCTTGGTCTTACCTGTGCAGCTGCCAGGTGTGTATAAAATGTTGAACCATTGTACGATCCCCAGTCCAGAGTTGGTGCATCTACACATCTGTTCAAAATCCACAAAAAAATTCACTTCCTAATTCTCTGAGAAAATGAATTGATCTCAAATTCAGCATATAATATATTGTAAGATTCATAACATTTAAAGAGTTCCCATTAGAAAAATAAGTAATTTCCTTCACTTAAGGTATCATTAGATAATCTACGTACTTGAACCCTAAGCTGCTGAGAGAGTTGCACCACATAGTGAACCCAACTGACATGACACAGGCAGCAATGAAGACCAGGGCCATCAGTCCTGCATTACACAGGATGGCTGGCATCACCCACATCTCTGTCCTGGAAACAGAAAGTTGTCAACAAACTCCTTACCCCTGCTTCTATGTTGAGAGTTGGACAACTTGAGTCAGATTTTTATTCAAGTACTCTACCAGTAAAAAGAACCTTGAGGCTTGACATGGCTATGGGCAAATTTAAGTGCAATTTTCCTACATCACCAATTTTCTGGTACAAATTCTAACCACATTCTGAATTAACTCCCACTGTGTTTCACATTGTACTGTTGAAACAGTAACAAAGCTCTTTAATCTGATATTTTGTCATGTCAAATTTGCAAATCATGGTACCTACGGGTCGATCTGTCTGTACAGGGCGTATCCATGGTAACCAGCAGCCAGTAGTCCATAGAACAGGGTAAACACACTCAGGTAGATACAGAAATGGCAGGAGCTGGGAGAACCAAAGCTGTCCACTTCAAATGTTTTGGCCGTTTCATTTTTCCATTTCAGGCTTCCGTACAAGATACAATTAGAACCAAAGTTGGCCTGCAAAGAAAACAGTGTCATACATATCAAACTGTTCCAATATGCTGGGTGGTTGCACAACAGAAAGTACTAAATAGCACAACAGGTTTCATTCTTACCCAGGTTACATTCCCGTATTGTACGTTTAACGTCAACTAGAAAAAGAGCTGGTGGTTTTTGTCCCAGGTGGTTTACCTAATTGGAATACAAGTCAAATACTGGCTCATCCCTGACTGATCTATAATATAGTAACTTGATCAACGCCCCTCCCGTACTTTTAGAACAGTCCACTGACCCCATTGACCCGTCCGCTAGCTTAAGATCCTTCTTAATATAAATGAACTTCGTTATCTTCAAATTACTCATCACACGCATGATTGACATAACGTTATGACACCACTTGTCGTCGTCTCGCAATGAACTTGAATGAATTTTCAGTAACGTCGTCACCAAGCATATTCGACTTCCTGCCCAACGTGTTTACACTTTAGCAGCTAGCTACTACGTTACTCGAACCTGCTGTATTTCCACCGCTATTCTCGCCAAGCTGACAAAGAACCGAGCCTCATACCTCTTCAAGACCGGTAGGAATCGATGTGGCTAAGCTGGCAATCCCGCAGGCGGCGTAAAGTAAAGTTTGGACTAATAGCATCACATTCACTCCAACTCCTGCCATTTTCCTGCCTTCGCAAACTTGAAGTACTGGTGCATCATGGGACTGTTGCCTTGGGGGGCGTGTCGTTCATGGCGACGCCTCAGGAGTGGATCCTTTCTATGGGTCACGTGATAGTTGATGAATTAATCGCGCTAATCTCTTGTTGGACGCCAGACTGCCCCCTCCCATCTTGGGAAGGAGGCCAATCCCAAGAGGGGCAAATTAGTTCCTGGCTGCAAGAAATTTTTAAACCCTGGTTTTGACCACATCCGTGTCCATAATATCACCAGGGTCCATAATATCGCCACCTTGAGAAATAGTGTGCTTTAAGATATTTTTACTGCAACATACTTTTGGTATGCACTCCTGCACACCTTAAATGTACATACCTAGGGTATGTTGCAGTAAAAATATCTTAAAGCACACTTTTTCTCAAGGTGGTGATATTATGGACTATGGTGATATCATGGACACAGATGTACTAGTCACTAAGTAGCAGATTTTTTTCTGCAACATGTTTCCAGTAAATTTCTTTGCTCATACATTGTACTGTACTAACAACATAGGAGGAGTGTAAATATGGAGTTGGGTTAAAAACTTGAATATTATTCATATCCAACTTTCTTTTCAAATTCATTGTCATGTGGTGGAACATTCCCATGCCACAAAAGTATGTGGCATAGGTTATTCACAGCCTTGTCACAAGTGGGTTGGTTGTCTATATGATAATGCCAGGTTTCAGACAAGGATGGACTGCCCTAATTAGCCTGTGCATCTACAGTGGTATGACATGGAAAGGAAGATTTTAATGTTAACACTCTAACAACACACACCATTACCAGATTTCCAAATATGTAATGATACAGATAACGTTACATGAAGCTATTCTTTTTTTAGTGTGTTGTAGTTCTGCTGTCCACATCACTTTAACAGAGATCTAATATCAGTATTTGTTGCTGTGAAACACACATTCAGTGTGTTCCAGTATATATTGACAAATCAGTGTCCTGAAAGTTAAGTTAACTTCCTTATTTAAAACCATACTGTTTAAGGATAGCATTGAAACTACAATATTAACAAATAAACCCCCTCCCAAAAATAACCCTATCTTAGATTCTCCAAACAATCGAACTATACTTAAATCATATGGGCAATGCAAAATACATATGGCAAACACTTTGACACATTTTGAAACATTTTGAAAAATACCCTGTACATGCTTCAATTGTCTGTGTGAACAAAATGACAGTTCTTTTCTATATGCAATCTGAGATAATTTACAGTAATGAAGGTTGGACAACACCTCTGTACTATATGGTTAATATTCTAATTCCAGGAACCTTGTCACAATTGAAATGCAAGGAAATTTATGATAACGAGTACTGTACTCAAGCATCACTCAAGTCTTTATACTGCCGGTGTATACACAACTTCGTTTGCCTGACAGGTCTGAAGCTGTGAAAACATCAAGATGTTTGTGCCTGTCAACTATGTTACAGCTCCACACCACTCTCTGCATCAGTGTCTGATGACTCTTTAAGTTGTTGACTGCCGATAACTCGCAGTGTCCAGCACCTTCTTTCCACACATGGCACAGATTCCTGTGTTAAAAGGCAAAGAAGAACATTATATTGTGATTCACTCTATCATGGGGTAAAAAGTAAAACTACATGTATTACTAAAATGTCTGACCAAGCCAAAATGTAACTACTACACTTAACCACAGTACTGGTCCATTACTAACACTAATGCTGTTCATGCAATTCTGTTACAGACACATTTTGTCAAACAATGATTTTAACTGGTCTACATGTAGATCTTACCTTTCTTGTAAGCACACCCTTGGCAATAATGTGAACCCTTCTGGTGAACAGTAGACTTGCAGATCCTGCACTTACGGAACTCCTGATAGGGGGAGAACCTGACAAATGTAACAAAATACACAAAATAATTCCATCTCAATCCATCTTGTAGAACCTCTGAATAGGTCAAAATAAACGCAGGTTCAAATTCATTATGTTACAGTGTAGCATTGTTACAAACTCATCATATACTATATACTAGTACTTGAGTAACTGCTTTTTGGTGTATTGTATTACCTGGATGTCTAACCTTCATCGACGTACAAAAAGCAGTTACTCAAGCAACTGGATATGATTCTGAACAAGGTATATATATACCTGTTTTTCTTCTGGGTTAGCAACTTGTTCTCATTGACTCTCCTACCACCTCCCTCTGTAAACAGAATATAATAATAGTTTTGTCTCCATCTGTGCAAGAGAACCAAGTCCCTTTCTCTACCATATGGCATGATATCACAAAGATGCATGGATACATTCATGTTCAGATGGGTCAGTAGCCAGTTTTAGCTATGGCTACTACTGGGGCATCATGTGGAGAGGCAGGAAAGGAATACTAGTAACTGTTCCAGCAAACAGATTAATTTTCCAGTTATAGTTACCCTTGACCTATGGGGGTTACATTGTATATAGTGAAAGCTACTACAAGTATGAACAAATACTTGGCTGGATATGGAATTATTACATTTTCATTAAAAATCATTTAACGGCCGTTATCTATACCAAATTTGTTGCAGTGAATTACATGTTCAACATGCTAAACATATATATATCAGCATAAAGTTCAAAGTACCAGTTGTGTTTCTTGCTCCATCTTTCCATGGATCTGGAGTGATGACCTTACCCAACTTCTTCTGACCTATGGGAAAATATAACTTAACGTTAACTTATAATTGCCAAGAGATGAGTAATAGAAGATTATGCATAATCTACAGTACTAATAGAGCGCCAAGTCATACTCTCTTAGACACCA